CCCAGCCGACCGACCTCATCACACATGGCTCCTTTCAATTTTTATTTGCAATCTCCCATTTTCTTGATTTTTGAACCTTGTCATATGCCCCTAGGAGTAGCTTTCCATCACATGTCTACCTTGGAAGACTCACTTGACTTCCCCCACAAGTTTTATTCTCCACCCTTGATCTAGTTTCAAATGGGTGGCCAAGATCACCCAAGATCCACCAACCAAAACCTATTCCCTCATTTATAAATACTCTCATTCCCATCCTCATTTACCACCTTAAAAAATCCTCTTCTTCACTTTCTTCTTTCTAAAAAATTTCCTATCATACAATTCTCTCTCTAACAAGGAGAAGCTCCCCAATTGTTTTCGAAATTCGACGATCACAATCTCGATGAGCTCATGATGTTATGTCGACCGCGTGCGTAGCCCACCTCCGACGACGAGCTTGCACCACGCCGACCTCGTGTCAACAGTACACCGAGCTCACACCGAAAACACGCCGAGCACGCGCCAAGGACACGCCGAGTCTGCACCACCGAGCACACGCCCTTGCCAACCCCCGCCGAGCACGCGCCACCATCGACCCCGCGCCGAGCTCCCTTTACGACGACAAGCCCACGCTCTTGTACGATCTCACGCCCAAGTCATCCCGACAACCTCACACTCAAGCCGTCCCAATGACCTCTCGCCAAGCTCACTCCGGGAACCGACGACCGAGGCCACGACAAGCTCTCACCGGCCGGCAAATCGACCACACAACTAGCACTACCCAAGCTTGACAATCTCTCCACTCCACCAATCGCTATGGCGGTATCGGCATCCTTCATGGGTACGCTCACCTCGGCTCACTCTTTTACTTGTAAAAATTACCTATGTAATGCACCCTCTTATTGTACTTGTATTTTTTGTCATTTTCATGCTCGTCATTTTACCTTCATATGCCTTAGAACCACCTATCTCTACACCTCCCCATAGCTCTTCCTCCACGAGCCATACCACTAGCTCTACCTCTTCGGGCACCACTAGCTCTACCTCTCCGGGTACCACTAGTTCTACCTCCCATTCGCCTTCACACTCTTCACCCAAAGAATCACCCCCCAATGCCTTAGCTCTCCCGGGCCCGACGACCCCTCTTAACACCAAAGCAAAAGAGAGTGCCGTCCACTCCCAGGCCATGCCTTCCAACCCCATATCCTCATATACGGATACCCAAATAGCCATTCTTACCAAAAAAAAATTGAATTGCCGAAAGGTTGAAAACTTAGAATCCCTAAACCCGAGGACTCATTCGATAGCCCCCCACCCGGCTATCACAGCTTTTATCTAGACCAAGTAAATTCGGGGCCGAGATTCCCCCTACACCCCGACCTACTCCGTCTAGGCCGATTGTACTGGGTACCTCTAAACCAAATACCTCCCAACTCGATCCGTCTCCTTATTAGCTTCATAATTGTGTGTCGAGTACGCCTAGGCGATCTCGACCCCAAGTTATGCTTCTATTGTATTTGCCTTAGAAATCCGAGCAGCGCCCCATACCTCATGCGCCGCAACTGTACCCGTTTCATTGACCAACCCAAATCGAAGATGCACAATTGGAGAAACAAATTCTTCTTTGTGTGTCCCTCTCTCGATTCCTTAGACTTCCCTCCCTTGGCCCCGAATCAGTGCAAGAACCCGAAGCGAAAAACCGCATACGAGACCATCATTGACAAGTGGAATGAGCGCCCACTTCTTATGATGAAGCTGACCACTAATGATCAGCTCATTCGACACTTCCAGCTATCCAGATGTGCCGCCGACCATATAGATGACATAGGTAGGGCTGGGCACCCCGAGTTGTCGTCATATCCCTTACCATCTCTTTCACGTTAATTATATGCATATAACTTATTTACTTATACTTGTATCTCTTTTGTTTTGCAGAGGACCTCCTCAAGACCGTGGTCGCACCCCCCAAGGCCGTGTCCACAGCTCCCATCGGGCCCTCAAAGGAGGTGCCAACTCCCCCCAAGGGGCTAACCACACTGGTGGTCGATCCCCCCAAGGACAATGCTCCTTTGCGCTTTCCTCCGCGCACATACCCCCGAGAGCACCCGCACAAATCCTTCTCAACCAAACGCAAGAGGTCTAAGCCCACAGGGGAACCCGAAGCACCCCTGAAATGGCCATCCAAGGTCGTCGGGAACAGGGACGCCTCAGTGACCAGCTCTTACCTCGTTGACATCTTCTCGAGAGGTGAGACTACAGGATGGCCCACCAAGGTAGACCGAGCCGGAGTCGTCACTTACCATCTTGGGTTGGTACATGTTCATCACCTTTAACTCATTTTTAATAAATAAGTGTTGCAAAATATAATATAACCCATCCTCTGTCCCAAATAGGCTTTGGCGGGCATAGCCCCGCTTCTTGAGGAGCAACTGGAGGGCGATGACGCCGAGGTAGAGTCCCTCAAGGAAAAGGTGAAGGAGGGCGAAGAGCGACTCTCCCAGATTCAAAAGACCCTCGATCTTCAGAAATCCGAGAAGGAGAAGCTCTGAAGCAAACTCAAGGCTAAGTACACCGAGCTCAAGGCCAAAGTGGCCGAACTCAAGGCCAAAGATGTCGAACTCGAGGAGCTACGCTCGTCGGTGGATGAGCGCATTGTCCACCCTCGGGCCGAGGGACTGACTTCCTTCTTAGGGTCCGACCTCGGATGCCGCTTCGTCGATCGATACCGCCACGAGCTGCTATCGAGGTACCATGACTCCAGGGCGTATCTCGTGAGGATCTACACCGCCTGCCGCCTGTATTTCCTCGAGGGGATCCATCGGACCCTGGCCAAGGTGAAAGACAAAGGGGCCGCTATTTCCGTGGATGAGGCGGAGGAGATCAGGATGATGGTCGGCCTCCCTACCCCCGCGGGGTGGAACGGTGACCCGTCTCTCCCGGCGACCCATCCTTGGTGGGAGCCGACCTTGGATACCGCCGCGAAAGCCATTGCGGCCGAGTTGCTTCTCCTTGATCGTCGGTACCTGCAAAACACGCTGGGGGTTGGTTAACAACCAAGAAAAAACCATTTCTCATTCCGAAGTCTGTGCCGGGTTTCAGTCCCGACGCGAACACTCCGGCGCTCAAGTCAGTGGTGGTCCAAAGGGAAAACGACAGAGTAACGAGAGAATTTGTACGTGTGTGTTGTAAAAAAATAAATGAACCCGCTCCTTTTATATGAGAAACTTGGAGAGTCCTCATGAGACAAGAAGTCTTTCTTGTGTGAACTACTTAATTAGGTCAAGAGTATTCTGAATTACTAGAGTCCTTGTTGCTACCAACTCCTTTGTAACTTGATCTCAAAGCCGCCTTCAGGTTCTAGCCTCTTTGACGGAGCCCTCTGACCTGACCGCCTAAGTGTCGAGCACTTTCGAACACCGAGCACCCAGGGCCGCCGAACACCTACCAACGCCGAGCACCTTACTGCTCTTCCTATGCCGAGCATTCGGCCCATGCGGAGCATTCAAGAGCGCCGGACACACGGAGACGCCGAGCTCACCCAACTACCCAACTGCCATCATGCCTAGCCAGCTCCCCTCATATGACAATGATGACCGGATCGCAACCGGTTCCTCATGAGCTACTACTAATGCCCACATCAGGGGGGATGAATAATTAGTATAATCCGACCCGTCAATATTCCACAATTCATCGACGAAATTGAATGTGATGCTTATATCTTTAAAAACTACCAAGAACAAACAATATTGGCATCTACAAATCGACAATTTGCACTTGGAAGATCATTATTAATGGCCAAACCCAGTTTCACAAGAGGAATGACGAATCCATATTGTTTTGTACGTTCTAAATTTTTGTTTATTTTTATTTCAAAATTTTATATATTTAATTCAAAATAATAAAATTTTATTATGACAATATAAATATGATGAATTGTCTTATTTTTTTGTAGATGTTATTGGATTGGTTGTTTCTATATAACATATTCAAATGAAGATTGTCAAGAGAGTTCCTACCAAAATGATCTTATTCTCTCTTATGGACTTAGAGTCATAAACCTTAACATTAGTTCGTATTGTTGAGCTATCATTATATATAATAATTGTTTTGAATGTGTTTTTTAACATATAAAATGCCTTTCAAATTTTTTTCGACATTGTGTAGGGAAAACATGAAGAACTCTACACTTTAGGGTCAATATGTTGATCAGTTGATTACTTTTGAGCATCATTACCAAAATCAAGAACCTTTTGTCCTCACCATGCAAATGTACCGTGCGGAGTGATGAGGTATTTCAATAATTTTAATATAATTAAACTCAATAAATAACTCGACAATTCTCTTTTGTTTTGATCGGTTAATCCAATATATTTTTTAATTAGAAGTTCGAATAAGCACATCAAAGGATGTGTGACCATGCTCACCGGTGTTGATGTTCCTGAGATTCGAGATTTTTGTAAAAGGTACATATCATTTGGTAGGGAAGTGTTTTAGAATATATAGATTTAATTTTCATTATATTTAGTAATTAGTAATGACATTATCTTTCTTTTATTACATAATTTGAATTTTAGTTCAAAATTATTTTTTAAAAGGGACGAAAATAATAAAGTCCGTGCATTGCACGTGTACTATACTAGCAAGAAAAACATGGTTAAACAAGAGAAATGCTCACCTACCAACGGTGGGCACATGTTAATATGCTCACCGCGTAGATGGTATGCACTCATTGGTGATGTAATTTTTAAAACATATTAACATCACCAATGAGTGCATGCCACCTACGCGGTGGGCATATTAAAATGTGCCCACCGTGGGTAGGGGAGCATTTCTAGGTTAAACAAATAAATAAATAAATAAATAAAGAAAGAAGGAATTCGTGGGTATTTTGGGCACAACACCTATATAGTTCCATCTACGCTCTCCTCTAGAACCCTAGTCCCCTCCGCCATCAGAAAAACCCCAAACTCTGTCACCAAGTCGCAGATCCTCGATCACGCACAAACACTCACCACTTGGAGATGGGAAGCGACAGCGAGAACGAAAAGAGTGCGCATAAAGAGAGGGAGAAGAAAAAGCTCTTGGCTCTTGCTCCCATTGCCAAACCGCTCGCCGGCAAGAAGCTCTGCAAACGCACCCTCAAACTTGTTCGCCGAGGTATTCACTATATCATGCTAGTTTTTATGACGTTTTTTTTGTCTAATATTCAGATTTTTGTGCATTATGTTTTGAAAACTCAGCTGCCGAGCGCAAGTGCTTGAAGAGAGGAGTTAAGGAGGTCGTGAAAAGTATTCGCCGAGGAAACAAGGGGTAGGCTGACATTTTCTTCTTACAGACCCAGTTTATTTTATTTTTTTCGTTTATTTTTATTTTTTGATAAAATACTTTTTTTTTTGCTTGAAAAGAAATGGGGCAATTGGGATTGTGTTATTGTGTGTTGACATGTGTAAACTTGAAAAATTAGGTGATGGATTTTTTAGATGATTTTCCAGAGGTTGTTCCTTAGAGCCGTGCATATTTAAAGTAGTTAAATCGGAGTAGAAATACTGCTCTTGCAGTGACAGTTCTTAAGCTTCTAAAGGCATTTTTAAGTGGGACATTGTATGATTTTTAGAGGATTCTTTGGTACAAACTTTGTAACACTTTCATTTTATACTTTGTTGGACTTAAAAAACTTTTATATTTATAATTGCGAAGTTTGCATGAAATGCTCGGGAAACATTTTTTCTTTTGTGCATAATACCTAGTCTCAATACAGTCAATCTATTTTTTTTTTATATTTTTTTTTTCAAATTTTAAACCGAAATTATTTTGATAGTAAGCAGACCATGGAGCAAGAAAAGACGAAAAAGTAAATTTTTTTGGAAACAAAATGCTCAATCAAGAATGAGGCTAATTGTGACTGCAACTAGACTATCTGGCCAGTGCTTCATTTTCTTGGAAATAATTTTCCTTTAAAAAATTATATAAATAATGTATGTTATAGATTCTGAAGAGAAATCTTTAACTTGTTCAATATTGCTTAGGCTATTATCTTTGTTTATTAGTGACCACAAGTACGCCCTTATAATTGAAATATCAATGCGTGTAGCTTGAATAGATAGAATGTGCAGTTGTTTTTTTATTTAAACTCAAAGATTGGTTACAATTGAATCTATCAATCACATATGTATCCTTATTCATATTTATAAGATTAAGTGTTCCAAGCGAGGTACATTTCGTATTCAGTGAAACACAATATTTGTAATGTGAAACTAATAAATGTAAAGGGTGTGAAGCTTTGGATAAATATTTTTATGTTATTAAGTTTCACATGTCAAATTCAAGTAGAAGTTAATATAGACAAATAGTGCTCTATTATATATTGATGAACTGAGTTGTGACACACCTTGAACGCCCAATTTTGGAAAGTTAAACATACACAAAAGAAGAAGGAAACGTAAAATCCAAGCACCAAGTATTTTGAGGGAGAAAAATGATGACTGATTTTTCTTCTGTTTATGAAAAATTTGCCATCAACAAGGCTAATAACTTGATTCAAGCCTAAAGAATTGTTAATGGAGATATTGGGCATGTTTGGGCACCAATTACAAATGGACTCGGAAACTATGAAGATGTCATGGGTTTGGTGCTTATTCTTTAACTGAGTTGCTTGTGGTCTTATAGTGAAGACGCTTTTGAATTGAATTACTGGACATCTTGTTTGCAATTTTGGGTGTGTTCGGGCACTGATTTTTAATGGACTAAAAAACTGTGCAAATGTCATAGGTTTGATGCTTATTCTTTAACTGAGTTGCTTCTAGTTTCATAGTAAAGGAGCTTTTGAATTAGTGCACATCTGGTTTGCTTCTAATTTACATGTAACTACGTTTTTATAAACCAAACTCCATTCTAAGAAGGCATACTGTAGTTTGGTTGCTATCTAAAAATGCTTTGCCAATCTTCTACTGTATTTATTTATTGTTTGGAGTTATGTTTTTAATCTTTAAATTCATATCTATATTTATGTATGATTGCAGGTTATGTGTTATTGCTGGGAACATATCTCCTATAGATGTCATCACTCATGTTCCGATCTTGTGTGAAGAAGCTGACATCCCTTATATCTATGTTCCATCAAAAGAAGTAAGTAGCTTTCCTCCACGCCTATGTGGTTTTTTTAGAAGCAGTGGTGTGATTGATGATAGCGTGTGCTTTGAGGTTTGCTTCATTTTGTTTAATTAGGTTAAAAATTTTCTACTTCATTCAAAAACTCTTGCTCATTAGACTAAGTTTGCAAAATAATCACTGATGTGTATTTAATAAATGTTAAAGTCAACCAATGTTTCTTAAGACATCATTTACATATGTAATTTTTTTTTTCTGCTCACTACTAATTGATTATGCTTCTTACTGACCGGTCAAACAAATATTAGATGCTCCTCCCTGTTTAATGTTATGGGAGCTCTAGCAATCGCTAGAAATATTGATCCCCCTGAGGAACTAAAGCAACTAATTCTTTTTAATAAAGAAAACCACATCTTGTGCTGCTCTGTTGTCAATTCTCTAACAATTCGATCAGAATCCAAAAGTAGGGGGACATGTGGTTTATGTTTTTGCTTCTGCCTTTTGGTTCGAAGTAGCAGACAATTATCATTCTGCAAGAAACTTAATTAATCAACATTCGTATCGAATTAAAACAACTTTTATTAGCATTTGTATGCCGATGCGCTTGAGTTGTAATTCTCTCAACTATTTTATAGTATCACTCATAATATTTGAGTCAGAAACCACTTATTCTAACTGCGGTTGTTTGATGTCAAATATCTGTTAGTTTATATGCCTATTCAACTTGCATATGCATATTTGGAAATAATATGAAACTTTTTTGTCCCAGGATCTTGCAAATGCAGGAGCCACAAAGAGGCCGACTTGCTGCGTACTGGTGCTGCCAAAGCCCACCAAGGGGGAAATAAGCCAAGAGGAACAGGACAAGCTGAAGGGAGAATTTGATCAGGTTGCAACGGATATATCCGAACTTGCTAACTCAATGTTTTGATGTTTCTAGAATTATTACTCTATGAAGTATGTACTTTTAAATTTGTTAGGACTGTGAGCTATGATTGAGATTATGAATTTTGTTCTGTTCATTTTCCTTTGCCTATTCATCACATCACCTGGGGTTGTGCTGGGGTTGTGCTGGAGTTGAGGATCTCCTGCACTTCGTTGTTGGGGGACTTAGGGTTGGAATATAACTTGAGCTCATGCAGTTGATGATGTCTTATACTCCATTGCTATTTGTCCAAGTTCTTAAGACACAAGGAGTGGTGGAAGGGCGGTTTGTTAATCATCTGTAGTTTTCTTTGCCAAATGGGATGTTTGAACAAAAGGTTTTACCCATGGAAAGTAATCATTATTGTGCTAAAGAATTATGTGATATTACGAATTATTTTAACATAATACGAATCCCCCGTGCTGTGAGGGTAAAAAAACTATTTTTTTTTTTTTTAATTGTGATTCTTATTAAATAATATTTATAAATGAAGAATATGGAATCAATATTTAATATAACTTATTTTTATTAATTTATTATAAATGCTAAGTGAAATGTTACTTGTGTAAAATTACATAAATTTTTATTTAAAATTAATACGCAACCGTGTAGGAAGTTTTGATGAATTAAATGATATTCATTTTAGAATTATAAATTATTGTCATTTTAAAATTGAAATTTTTGTTTAGAATTTCGAATTAATATAATGTAATTCTATAAAATAATTATTTTAGTGAATTTTATTATACATTTAAAAACCTATGTGAATAATAAGTATTGAAAATAAACTTATAATGTTTCATTAACTAAAATGAATTTGTTTTTCTATAAACTGTCTGAATCAAAATTTAAGTAGGTGATTAATTTATTATACTAAAAAATATCGACTCTTCATTTATGTCTAAATTAATGTTAACTCGTACGTTATGAATAATTACTTATGACTAGTAATTACTTATAAGACTTGAACCATGAGAATAGTCAAATAAGTAAACTTATATGACTTAAGAATATGGATATTGCAGAAGGAAGCTACTCGGCCATCAAGGAGAAAGATTAAGGAACTGGACAATGAGAGTAAATGGCAATATTAAACATTTTATGTGGAAGTGTTTTTCAAGTATCATAACTTAAATTTGAGAGAAAGGGATGGAGTTGGAAGTTTTGTGCAAGGGGTGTGGTAAAGAAGAATATGTAGAACACTTACTTTTCAAATGCCAAAGAGCTAGGAAAGTTTGTAAGATTGCTCCAGTTCAGTGGGATGGGATTTCAGTGGAGACTTGCAGTTTCAGAGTATGGTGGTGGCAAATCTGTCTCTTAAACAAATTAAGAACTTCAGAGAAGAGGATCTAGCTGACCACATACACACACACACACACACACACACACACACACACAAAGATATATATATTCCATAGTGGCTTTGGAAGACTCGTTACTTATGGTTGTTCCAAAATGTCTGGGTGCCAGAGCACGTGGTGATTAAGGAGGTTATGATGGAATGAATTGATTTTCAGCTGGTGCAGGTTAGAGGAAGAAGGTGTTCAGCAGAGAAAGACCTTTGTATTTAAGTTTTCTTTTCTTTTGTATGTGTTGGTTGTTCTGGCTTTTGTGTAGTTCAGTTGGTTTGTTGTTGTTCTTGGTGCTTGTGGTTTGGCTAGCTAAGGTCTTCGGTGTGTTGCTGCCTTAATTTTGGTTTGGTAGCTTTGTTTGGTTAGTTTTATAGGCCACCTGATAGGTGTGCCCTCCTAGTTTTTAGTTGTTTAGAGGCTTTGTTGGCTCGGGGCTTTCCTTTTGTACAAAACGTTTTCAGGCGGTTAGTTATTATTTTCTCTATTGTTTCGAAAAAAAAGTAAAAAATAAGTAAATTAATTTATCAAATAAGAAAATAAACTACCAAAAAATTAAACTGATTATGAATTTGAAAAAGAGTATATCATATATGTATATATTAATGATCTGACTTTATTTTGATATTTTTCATTTTGTCAATAACACATGAAGATTCTAAACAAAAGCAAATGCCAGAACAACTCCAACCATAAATTAGGGAAGATAATTATGTAATCTAGTATCATGGATATTGACACTCCAGTACTCGTGCGATACACGGACAAGTAATATTAAGGGTTGAATTCATGGACAATGAGATAATTATACATAACATAAACACATTTATTAGAATAAAAGAAAATATTATTTATATATTCTTAACACATCCTTGTACACAAATTTTTTGTCTATTTTTTTGGTACATCGTCATTGCCACAAATTATTATTCTTTATGATTCGTAATGCGTGAAACAACTACATACAACTGACGTAACTAAACATCGGTCTCTTCAAAACATGCCAAGATGTGACAAAAATTGACCTTGATTATTGCTTATAGTCAGACGGAAGTGTGAACTATTTTTGCTGGAATTTGAAAGGAATCTTAACATCAAAATGAGTTATTTATTGTATATAATAAACTATTATATTTATGCAAGCTATCTCTCTTTATATATATAACCAATATTCAATCATGTCCACATGAACAAATGTTTAAATTATTATAATTTATATGCATATATGTAATATTAAAATTATAAGTTAGATAATAGTATCACATTTAATTTTTTTGTCATTGATAGAAATAAACATTATAAAAGTATTCAACTTCATCACTATATTGATTACATAAAATGAAATAGATAAGGTTGTTTTTATAAATTTAAAAGTTCACGACCCATTAATTATATTAAAAAAGTATTATTATTATTATTAAAAGTTTAATAGGTTGGTTTACCACTAAAGACAATTAGCTTATTAAAAAGAATATTTAAGAGTAATAAATAACTTAAGAAAAAAAATTCAATATAATTTTATACTTTTTCAACTTTCATATATCATTTAGTGTGAATTATAATTAATTTGTTTTAGCAATAACTATTTTGTAATAGAATAATTAAAAGCAAGATTACACTTCAATTAACCATTATTTCAAAAAAAAAAAAAAAGTAATTGATTAAGTTTCATTTACTTATGGCGTTTACAACAACCAATGCAAATCAAAGAGCTTGATCACATCTACTTCCAGTTTATTTTTCAAAGGCGAGAAGATCTTCGAAGAGTTGCAGCGGGTGCTAACTGGATATTTGACAACCAATTTCTCCTTTTAGCTGAATGGCAAGACGGTCTCTCAATCAACCATCCCATATTCTCCGAGATTCACATATAGGTGCAAGTTTTTAACGTTCCTCTAAATTGGCTGAGTTCAGAAGTGGGCCTGAAAATTGGTACAGATTTTAAATCAGTTTAAAATGTGGTGATAGTAGGAGCAGGTAGTCATGGTGGTCATGTTATGCGTTTGCTGGTTTCTATTGACCTAAATAAGGCTTTACCCCGCTGTTTTAACCTTAGACTTGGTGACCAGGCAGTTGTTGGCTTCAAATATGAAAGACTGGTTAATCTCTGTCACTACTGTGACCACATTGGTCATTGAGATCGTGGATGTTCGAAGAGGATGTTGGATATTAAGGTCAAAAATTTGAAGGAGGTCCAATATGGTGAATGGATGAGAGCCACATACACTCAAAACTGGACAGAGATTAGTAACTCAAAGTCCAAAGTCCAACAAATTCTGACATCCCTCCTTCCACAACCCACACTACTCCTGTTCACACATCCAATAGCCATATTGAAGATAGTAGCCATATCATACCTATTCCAGATGAGACTTCCCAGAAATCAAAACACAATCCAGAAAACCTTTCACATGATAAACCTATTCACACTGATATAAATCCTCAGCAAATACCTCAATCCTCTTCTGTTATGTTGATTGAGATTGCTGATTGTACCACACCTAAAGAAATGAAAGCGGAGGCAGACCAGTATAAACTCACCAAATCCCAAGCAAAGTATTCTGGACTTCTTAAACCTTCCCTTAAATCTTGGAAAATATCAACAACCAAATCAGGCAGGCTTCTAAGGCAGGAGGACAGCTCATCTCAGGAGAAAATCACAGCTCATGGCAAAAGACATAGGGCAGAGGTAGAAGTGTATGAACCAACTGAAAATGAAACCACAATAGGTCAAGAGGACAGGAAAAAGCTCAAAGTTTCCTATGAAAAGGTGGGGGTTGCCAGCCTTGAATGGCACCCAAGTGACAAATTCTAGCTGTGGTGTGGAATTATAGAGGGCTGGGTGGGCCCTCCACAGTTTCCCAAATCAGAGAGTCATGCAAGACCCACTACCCATCTTTTGTTTTTTTATCTGAAACAAAAAAGCAAAATGGTTTTGTTAAGTCAGTGAGCAAGAAGCTGGGTTTTGATGATAGGTTTGCTATATTAACATTAGGAGCCAAAGTAGAGGTTTACTTCTTCTCTGGAGAAAGGATGTTTCTGCAAGTTCATACTAAGGAGTTCTATATTGAAGTAGAATTCAATTTGCTAAATGTTACTGCTTCATGGGGTGTCTTTGTACATATGAGTACATATAAGGCTATCAAAGAAAGTCAGTATGCTGAAATTGAGAAGACTAAGCATTGCTGGGGTGATAAGTGGTTCCTCATCGGGGATTGGAATAACATCTGTTGCTCTGAGGATAAAAGAAAAGGGTGCATAAGAAGTGGGAGAAACTTGCTGGCCTTCAATGCTTTTATTCACAGAATGGAGATGGAAGAAATTACTATGAAGGGCTACCCCTTCACTTGGGCAAACAACAGAGACTATGAAGGCTTTGTAGAGGAAAAACTGGATAGAGGTTTTGCATCTACAGAATGGACTGAAGCTCACCCTAAAGACTCTGTTGTTAAATGATTTTGTAACAACATAAAACGTACACCCCTATTCCGTGAATAGGGCGTGTAGGATTTATATGAGGTTGTAGTGATTTTTTGGTGTATTTGGATGTGATTCGTATATGTTTTGTATATTAGATTTACTATGTTTTCATGGTTTGTCTGTTGAAAAAAGAAAAACGGATCAAGATTCAGAAGAAAATGAACAGAGGACAGGGGA